AAATATAGATATTATATAAAAATATAGATATTATATAATATTTAGTTCTTTTTGCATCTTTATATTATTCACACATCAGTTGACTCACTTATGATTGCATATCATTTATAAAAATGTTTTTTTTTATTCCTGCACTCTCTATATGTTTGTTTCAACTTATTGCACTGTGTGCAATTCAGAGATTGCAGGAATAAAAAATGATTCTATAATATTATATGTATAATTATACAATTCTCTTGTCTCTTGTTTATATTTATCTTGTTTTAAATCTCGTTACAGCAATAAAATTAAATGAGTTACGTTTTTATTTACTTTTTTCATGATATGGAGTTGACAATTTTCCTTTTCATTGTAATATTTGGTCATATCGTGTACTAAGTGTTGTAAACGAATATTTGCAGAACCAACCACTTGAATCCAAAATAGACTTGGCGTTTCCATTGCAGATACATATACTTCCATTAAACCTTCTATTTAAATCAAAATTTAATTGTAAATATGCAATATAAAAATCAAATATTAATGAATTTTAATGAAATATAAATTTATAAAATTTACAAAATCAAATATTTCACAAATAATTTGTTTTTTAAATATCTTCTTCTACAGTCTTTAAAACATTACTAAATGTTCTAATACCATTGTTACATGGAGAATCAGATATGCTTTTTATCACTGTAGATTCATAATTCCATTCATTACGAGATTCAATTGCCTCTTTAATTTTATTTTTTATCTGATTAGTAGCTAGTTCAATTTGTTTACCAGTCCCAATTATTGTTACATTTCTTTGATCTATAAAAAAACATCATAATTATTGCATTAATTGTTATTATAGACTCCAACAGAATACAGAGATTTAATTAAAAAACAAATGTATCAAATTTTCAAAGTGATCAAAGTGGATCTTGATTCTTGATAATCAAGTTTATCCATTTTTCATTTATAATGAATTAACTATACATCATATATACAGTTAATAATAAAATACATCATATATACAGTTAACACACTTAATAATAAATAATACAGTTAATAATAAAATATAAACATCTTATCAATTTAGATAAATCATGAAAAATGTTTAAAAATATTTACTTTCAAATTTATTAGCAATATTTTCAAGTATGATTTTTGCACCAGAGAATCTTTCCATTTCTTGCACTGTGTATCCATTTTTTCGTATGATCCTTCCACAAGCTTCATGTGGCATTAATAATTTATAAGTTTCAATATCAGAATGATCCTCTGTTGTATTTTTATCAGTGTTAATATGGAATAGCTCAGATATTCTTGCAGTTGCAACTTGCATTCTTAATTGAACTTCAGTCTTAATTTCGTCTTGAATTTTATCTTCTATTTGAATAATGGCTGCTGCTATTTGATCAGCAGTTCCCTTTAGTATTATCCTTCTTTTGAATCCAGCTATAAAAAATTAGTAATTATAGTAATAACATAATAATATTGCAAATTTTATATAAATTTTGGGAACATACTTTCAGTTTTATGAGGATCACTCTCAAGTATAATTTTTGTACCGTGAGTTTTTTGAATCTCTTGCGCAAATCCAAAATCATTCCAATTTTTTTTTAAAATTCTTCTAGAAACTTCAAAAGGGATAAACAATTCAAAGGTTTCAATGATAGGTAGATTCTTTATTATAGATTGTATCATATTCTGTGCTGAATAAATGTTTTCTGCGTTATCAGACCAAATGTAACAGACACGATCTGAACAATATAAGTCTGCCTTTTCCATTTTAATGCGTGTGTTGGTTAACTCTTCTATATTTCTTATTACAGCACCACCTTTACCAATAACAGCAGATACATACTTCTCAGGCATTTTAAATTCCACGCAAATTTCTTTGCATTTGGATATCCGACCATATTTCTTTCTATCATTATCATCCTACAATATAATAAGATTATATTTACGAAACAAATAAATTTCATTGAACTTCACAGACAGATTAAGCCTATTTTACAATATGCTTTATATAATATTTCCAATTTCTTGTTTTTCTCCTCTTTGTGATCATTTTAACAATTTATTTCTTGCTACTATTTCCTATTTCTTTCAATATTCATTAATTTTAAAGCTTATTCTATATGCATTTTGTTTTCTGTTTTCTTTTTGCTATTTTTGCTTTTTACTATTTTTTATATCTTGTCTTTTTGCTATTTATCCGATTTTTTGTTTTATATCACCTGAGAAAAATTAACGAACTTCGAAGGAGACAAGAAATATAATTGTCGATAAAATGATTGCAAAGGGAAAAATAGCAAGAGCATAAAAAGCAAGAAACAGGAAAGCACATAGTCGAATAGGCTTAAAAAATAGCAAAAAACAGGAAACAAAAAATACATTATAAAATAGATTTTAGAAATAAAAACAACTTTAGAATAAAGAAATTTTATGTCAAGAAAGCAAGCTTTACTTTTTCAACCATAGTATACAGCAAAATTGCCACTGATAATCCCAAAGTTGTTAAAGATATGCCGAGTAAAATCGGTAACACCGATTGCCTGTTCACAGTTGATAACAATTTCATTTTTCTATAAATTTAAATTAAGACAATATATTGTATAATTTTGCAACTAAAAAACATTGAAAACATTTTTTAATTATCAATCCTCACTGTATAAGATCGAGACATCACTGTAACTAGTGACCGAACGATTCTAAACTAATGATCCTATAAATAGAATCAGTAAAGCCTGGCCACAGTATAAGGCCCTGCGCACAATAAAAGGAATTAGGGCTACGTTCCAAAACTTCCTCTTCGAGGAAGATTTTACACTATGCTATAGTATACGTTACGTGTACTATATATTTCGAGTAAAATTTTTCTCAGAGAGGAAGTTTTGGAACGTAGCCTAGAAATAAAGAATAAATGATTGTAACCTCAGAAATCAGATACATCGGAATACAGATACATGATTTTTGATAGATTGAAATCGTTTATTCTTTATTCCTTTTATACGCAGGACCTAAGGATGCCTTTTCATGCTGATGCTTAACGCTCATTTTTAAAGTCAAAATAAATCAAGGTGATCACGTGATTGTATCCATATTCATAGGCCAGTATTCATAGTCGATTCTTATTTCAAGCCGTCTTAAAGGCTTGATTATAATGAATACGAGTATAAGGCCTGTTATATGGTCTCTTTTCTGTTCCTGCACTAGAAAAAGACTGCATTAGCATCCTCTTTCTCACATTTAACAAATATCAAACATATACCTACCTCACTTCAAATTCCAAGGCCTTCCTAACAAACGTCGATAAGTCGACTGTAAGTTGACTTTGCTAAGTCAGGCTTTTAGAATCGACTTTGTACAGACGTCGATTTTGTACAGACGTCCTTCCAATATCGACTTTAGGACGTCTAGTGCGATTTACGCTCATAAAGCTTAAAGACCCCCTAAGGGCCCAGGAGCGTGATTCTTGAAAAGACTTTATTCTTGAAAAGTATCGCATACGAAAAATTAGAGAAATACTATAGTATATGTAACACATATTATAGTATTTCCTTAATTTTTCGTATGCAATACTTTTTGAGAATAAGAGCCCTGTTATGGGATTCTCTAAACGTTTTATCGACAATTGAGAGAATGGATGAAATAAAAACCTAATTACAAAATCTTGATTTTGATAAAAATTAAAATAACTTGCTACTTTTTTGTTATACAACAAATGGGAATAGTATTAATTGTTTATGTAATGTCTTTAAAAAGTTACATGTATAATATTTCTTTAGTATAATTAATATTAAAAAATTTTTAATTTGCAATTTAAAAAATGCATTTAGTCCCTTTTTCCGAATATTGATCATAATATTGTAAGAATTGATAGAAAGAAAAGATTATGAACTACAAATGTTTTTTATCTTCACACTCTTGTAGAAGAAATATAAAATGAATATGGAATACACTTTACTTTTACACTTGTACCAAATAAGTTGAAATAATGTATTCAATCATTATCTGATGAACTTTCATAAGATTTTTCAACATGTTGCATAACAAACACATTATTGTCATACCATTTTTGTTCAGTCTCTGGTAAAAATCTCATTAACGATTTTAAATTATTGAATTTTTTTATCATACCTAGAAAAACAGGCGCTTTTAATTTTTTAAGTATACAAGAAAGATCTTTATCAAAGACTTTAAATAGAGAATACGTATCTTTATTTATTTTATCATATGAGTTGAAACACTCAATCGTTTCGTCGGGCAGCTATAACAGACAAGCATATTTTTGTACAGTAAATTTCATTTTTTTTGAATATGGCATACAATGAGTATAAATTGCTAAAGTCGAATTTTAGTCTTTCACTAAACTTAAATCAACAACATGAAAAGGCATTGGATTTATGATAAATACGTAACATCGAAAGATAATCATACAGTGTCTTTGCGTTTCTTAAGTTTCTTCCATAAAGGCCGAAGTTGCGATTACACTGGTTGAAAAAATGGCTGCGCACAGGGAAAATGTGTTCAATGGAAATATTATAACTTTTTCGTCGCGAAAAGTGTCAATGGTATTATCATTCAGATCAATAGTAAAATCATTTGAACTAATGATAAAATTATACTCAATGGCATTATCATTATCCAATGATTTTACTTGAAGCATTCAATAAGAAAATCATTCGGTCAGTAAAAATATTTTATCATTGGATGTAGTCCAATAAGAATATCATTCAATCAAAATATCGATTATGTAAAGTTTTCCTTAGAAATGAATACACAAAAAGTGAATATTCATGTGAATATAATGAATAAGCGATTAAGTAACTTTTGGCTATGATAAAATGTGAAATAATTCGAATCACGAGAAATTTTTCGGCAAGTAACGAAATGCCTAAAATGTAAAATTCTAGTTATTTTTTAATAAATTGATATAAATTAGCTTGTTTTTCGTTCTTTTGGTCTGTTTTCTGTTTCTGCATTAGATTGTATTAGAACTTTCTCACTTTCGATAAATATCAAATATTAGGTGTAGTAAAAAGAAATCCATTATTTTTGCATGAAATTGAATGGAAAACTAATGGATTTCTTTTCACTACACCTAATATATCTGAATATCTATTTGAAATGGATATTGAGTGCTTTCTCGCCGTAAATGGTGCGAACAAAGAAGAGCATTCAGTTGACAGGCGAAAACTTCGCATATTAAGAAAATTTGCGTGATGTTAAATTAAATATATGAATAAAAGATAAAAATATGAAGTGCATAAAAATCACATGAAAATTTAAAAATGAGAATTATGATAAAAAAATAAAGATTTATGAAACAGATTAAAAAAATAACCTTTTTTCATTCAGATAAAGATTTCTCCAGTCCCAATCCGGAACAATTTAGGGTTTGTGCCATATTCTCCCGTACATTTTTTTATGAGTTTTAAATACATAATACCTTGATCAAAAAGTTCCCGGAATTCATTCAAAAAATTCAAAATACAAGTTTTATTCATTAAAAGTATTATATTATATTGTTCCCTTCAAAGTACTCCCCATTGACTGCAACGCACTTATGTCAGCGCTTGATCCAGCTCTCGAAACATTTCTGGAACTCTATTGTCGGTATAGCTATCAGAGCCGTCTTCGATTTTTTCATTATCTCCTTTCGGCTATTAAAATGCGTTCCCCATAATGATTTTTTCATGCCACACATAAACGGCTGTTTTCTTTAGAGTATCACTGCCGAAACAGTTTCCCAACATTTCCAAGGTTTTTCACACCATTGAATCCATTTTTAACGCAAAATTTCATACAAACTCGTTGTTGCAAATTCAACTCCATTTTTAAAACTGTAAAAAATCGAAAATACGTGCAGAGGTAGATGTACTCAAGACGGCGTAACTTTTACAAATGTCAAGCTATGGTGATAAAATTTGGTGGGAATGTCAATGATAGATGTGGCAACCTAACCAAAAAAACAGAATTCAAATCAGCTGACTCAGAACATCACCTGGTGGTAATTCCGGGAACTTTTTGATCAAGATGAAGGTTTTTACTACATACAATCAAGAACAAGAATAATAGAACATATTTTTACTAATTCCATACGACTCTAAGAATTGCGCGACACTCTTCCCCGCAGAATATCCAAATTTTTTTATCATTATGTCTAATAGCATTTCCTTTTGTTTTCGAGTTACATTCATTGTTATTCTCAATTATATGTCTAAGGAACAACAAATAATGAACACAATGTAATTTCCTATCAAAATACGTATTTACGTGCATACATACTTGTATAATACACTCGTGAACACTTGTTAAATTTTTGTAAATTTAAGAAAAACGACAATTCGCTTTATGATCTCACTTTCTTTTAACTTCACTGATTTCACTTTCTCATAATTTTCTTACATAATCACTAAATCTGATATTGTTTGAAAGTGAAACTTTTCACGTGAGATTGGTACTTACGAAAAGTGAAAAAATGAGAGTTTCGTAAAAATTTACATAATCGATATCCTGTGATATAATATAATATTTTGTCATTGGATTGTTGTCAACAGGAATATCATACGCATTGAAAGCTACTCATTTATACAATCCAGTGATGCTTTCAATGGAATTTTACCAATGGCAATATTTTACTACTAAAGATTTTATTATTGACCGGTGATAAAATTTTCAATAATAAAGTATAATATTATCCCAGATAACCAAACGTGTGATATCCCATGATAGCCGCACAAAATATCGCTTCCGTACTGTTACTATACTGCCACAAGGTGGCGGCGTAACTATGGCTAATATTCATAATCGAATCTTATTTCAAGACCATCTTAAGCTAATGCAGTCTTTTGATTGATTCGTGACTTCTTAAGACCGTATTTAAGACGGTCTTGAATATATTAGGTGTACAACTTTGCTTCCGCCGTTTTTTTTCCGAAATTCGAGGAAATTCTTTATTGTAAAAAACTGGTTATACATTTATGATTCAAAGTATTGTCCATCGCTAGCCACTACTTTCTCCCATCTTTCGGGTAGCGCACGAATCCCGCATCGAAAAAACTGGTCATCTTTTGAGGCTATCCACGAATCGATCCAATTTTTTACTTCTTCATAAGACCGGAAGTGTTGGTCAGCCAGGCCGTGTGCCATTGATCGAAACAAGTGATAATCAGAGGGAGCAACGTCTGGAGAATATGGCGGGTGGGGTAGGACTTCCCATTTCAACGTTTCCAAATATGTCTTGACCACTTTCGCAACATGGGGTCGAGCATTGTCATGCTGCAAAATCCCTTTATCGTGTCTCTCGTTGTATTGCGGCCGTTTGTCTTTCAATGCTCGGCTCAAACGCATCAATTGCATTCGATACCGATCGCCTGTGATTGTTTCAGTTTCGGTTTTAACAGTTCATAATACACTACGCCGAGCTGGTTCCACCAATATATATAATGCAAATACAGAGCATGACCTTGGACGTCAAAATCACCATTCTTGAAGCGTTGAAACCACTCACGACACGTTCTTTCACTAATAGCGGCCATAAGTATTTGAGAGCATTCGATGAGCCTCAGCCACAGATTTCTTCATATTGAAGCAAAAAATTAAAACCTCCCGCAAATAACGAGAATTTGGCTCGTAAACTGACATTTTCAATTGAGAATAACTTTATGATGCAGACACAAATCGACTAATGTTTCTATGGAGTTATGTTGACAGATGCCCAAGTTTATTGTATGACGTCTATGATCTATTTATTTCGACCACCGCTAAAGCCATCTATAGAAAAACGGC